CTTCCGCGTGTAGAATAGGACATGAAATGTTAATGCTTTTTCAGGTGATTATTTATAACTAATCCTGTTTTATCTCTCGTGGCCAATTTGCCGAGTGACTAGAAATGTACGATAGATTTTCCCGCAAATCCATCACGTCAGTGTCAAATTAACCAGGCATTCGTCGATATATCCTTTATGCCGAGTGTATGGCATCCGTTGTTCTTAAGAGACCATAGATTTCCACAGGGGGGAATTTTTGAATACACAAACAAACATCTCATCAACGGACTAATAAGGTAGAGGATGGTCCGTTAAATTTTATTGTCCGTAGATGGGAAGGGTTTAGTTTGGTTTGGCTTATTTTGTTTTACAGCATATCAACCTCAATGTGTTATTTAGTTCCGACAAAAAATTTTATTGCTTGTAATATTTTGTTTTGTCAAAAATCTGTTTCTGGTAATATATTTCCTTCAAAATTGTATTGTTGGTAATATTTAAAAAAAAATGTATTGCTGGTAATAGTTAACTATTTACGCATAGCTGTGACCCTATCAGGTGCCCTCACCCCGGATCAGGATAGACCTGGGAACACCAGCAATTAAGAGTTGGTTCCACGCTCCTCAAAACCTCCTGATCAGAGGCCTTGCTGCTGGACGTAGTTTAACGTCGTACCGGGGACGCGGATCTAGTTTAACGTCTTACCCAGGACGAGTAAATGGGAAGGGGTTATTTTTTAGTTACGAAACCATTATAGTAACTACCAGTACTTATGATCATAATGTAAATATTAAAAAACATGTATATATTGCATAAATATATGCTTAATAGATATAATTATCAAAATAACAAAAATAATAGATTTCTAACAGCTACTTTCTCAGGCATGCTCTAATATATCGTACTTTATATACTGTACACCCGTCTTTGCTTACAATTAAATGGTCAGTCAATCAGTCACTTTGAGAATACGACTCGTTCCGCTAAGCCCACAATTTATTTTTAAATACATCGCTGACAATTTTAGAAGTTTTTTGGGGGTTTTTTAACTTTTGTGAAGATTTCATGAATATTCAAGCCGGCAGGCGAAAATAAATAAATATACTGTTTTTTTTTTAAATCGGTATCACCCCACGCAAGGAAATATAGCTACTAAGACGTAAGGGGTTACAATGTATACAAGAATTAGAGACAGAAAAATTAATAATGAGCGGGTAGAGGAAAGAGTATTCAGGTGAACAGTAGATCGTGATTGACATTGCATTTAAATTTTTGGAGATTAAAGTTGGCTGGAAAACATGGAGCCGGAAGGAAGTTCAACAAGCGAGAAGTGCGAGGTAAGAAGTTGATAGCATAGAATTTACGCCTGTATCTAGCCAGATCAGCTGTAGATTAATGAAATCTAGACGCCAGTATAGTACTGCGTTTAAATTTTAAAAGTCTAGGTACCATAGCCAAGAGCTGATCATTTACCAGGAAAGAGAGCCATCCTTACGGTGGTAGGGAAAGAGATTGAAGCCAAGCCGCCAGATCAGGACCAATAATATTGCTGATTCTTCTTTAGATTTTATCAAGGAGCTCAAAGTAAATAGCAGAGGCACCAGACCCTATATGGCAGCAATATTCTAAGCATGAATGAATCATAGACTTAAGAGAGTTTTTTTTTAAGCAAATCACTCCAAGCAAGACGGGAGAGCCACTTGCACCAGGGGTTACAGAGAGTAAAAGTAAGGAGGAGTGTTTGGGAAAAGGATAAAGTAAAAGACAGGGATGAAAGATCAAGGCATCAGAAGATGCCGATTGACATTACATTTGAATATTTGAAGATTACAGCTATCAGAAAAGCAAGGGATAGGAAGGGAGTTCCACTAACGGGTGGTGCGAGATAAGAAGCTGTTGGAGTAGAAGAGATGGCTACATTTAGCCGTTTCAACACTGAAAGGATGGGCTCGAGATGCATACCTACTAGCACGCTTAAATTCATGCAGTTTGGGAACCAATGAATGTAGCTCGTCGGAGCAGTTGCCATAAAATTACTTCTGAAGCGAATCATTGTCTCGCAAGATATAGTGATACAACTTTCTTATCATTTAATAAATAAACGGTGCATCTACTCAAATAGCAGTGAGTATCCACTAAATAACATTTAAAATTGAAAAAAAATATACGGTTATATAACTTTTGCGTCGTCGTGTGGTTAGAAAGTTAACATTCCGGTCATGAGATCCCGCCTCGAATTACAGCAATGTTTGTTGGGTTTCGATATTGTCTATTTATAAGCATGAGTATACATGTCTCAATCGAGAGTCATCGAGAGACGACGCTAACGACCACGCACGCTGAAAACGTGATTTACACCGATGGCTGGAGCGAGGAGAAAAGAAACGAAGTCTTAACGCCGTGTTTGGGGGAGGTGTGCTCGGCGGAAAGAAAACAACACGCCGACATCGGGAGAAAGCGTCTTCATATGCGTTCTTTGCAATCGAGACTGTCACTCCCATGTGGGTCTGTACAGCCATAACAGATGCTGAACCGCCATCAGTAGCTAAAGCATAACTCTTTGGGCGCTGATCCATGGTCGGTCGAGACCGACAAATGCAACATCACATATTGTACATTATATATTGTTGATATGTTCATATATCTTATCTTGATTTCTTAACGATTTTGTTAGTCGATACACCATTTTTTTTTTTTCTTTTTCTTTTCTTTTCTTTTATTTCCCCGTTCCATCTCTTATGGAAGTGGGACAAAGTCAGCTGTTTCTAGTACTTTTTTGTGTTTTTCTGTTTTTTCTCAGTTTTTATTTATTTATTGTGGCTATATTTTCCTTTGTCCAATTTCCTCATTTGAAACTTTCCTGTTTTTATATCATTCGCTTCTTTATAAAAGTTAGCATTCCAACCATGAGACCTGGGTTCGAATCTCATTGTTATATAGGAATAAAGTGTCGCTGCCGACACTGGAGTTTGGACACAGATCACCAGACAACAAACACAGGCGATTCCATTTTGAATAATTAGATCACGTGATGGTAAATGACATGTACATATGGGAATTAGCGTGGCGTCTAAGTGATCACTATTTCTACACTATCCTCTATTACTATACCGATCGCTATTCTACATACTATTCACTATACTATTTCTCTATACTGATCACTATACGGATTACTATTCGGATCATTATTTCTACACTATCCTCTATTACTATACGGATAGCTATTCTTTATAATATTCACTATACTATTTCTCTATACTGATTACTATACGGATTACTATTCGGATCACTATTGCTACACTATCATCTATTACTTTACGGATCGCTATTCTCTATACTATTCACTACACTATTTCACTATACTGATTACTATACAGATTACTGTTATCGGATCATTATTTCTACACTATTCTCTACTACTATACAGATCACTATTCTCTATACTATTCACTATATTCTTTCTCTATACTGATTACTATTTGGATCACTATTCGGTGGTTATTTTCGATCGAGTATTATCAAGCAAGTACAATTAGTGCCAGTGATATTCGAAGGCGTCTGAGACCAGTATTGTTCAACGAAGTTACTACAGTTATATCTACGATTACAAAGACTCTGTTACAACAATCATAACGAAAGTGATAATGAGTGTTCGTTGACATCACAAAACTCACCATGGTCAATTTGTCAAAAGTGTTGACTTCTTCACAATATCGGCTTGGAGAGACGATCTCAGCGTGCGACACCTGGAGAGAAGTTCTTGAAATCGATACCACGCGTTGGCCGAATCTTTGTGCGTGAACCTATTCGGAAGCCGTCGATATTTGTGCGTTTAACTGCATAACACCATCTTAAACGCACTGTTAGTTAACTGTAACACATACGATCACAATTTCGACTTAATAAATGCCAGTTCGATCAGAAGAGAAAAGGTTCACTAAGAAGAAAAAGCATTGAGATTGCACTGATCTCTGAATATTCTCAACGGTAAACCTACGACCAGGCTCATACATAATATCACGCATCGTAACAAATGAAATAGTAGTACAATGCGATACACGAGCTAATCAAGAAAAACAAACGGTGATCTCGTTGTAATTGGGCTAATTTTAAATCTAACAAACCATAACGACATTAATACAAAACAAAATGCACTTACTGGTCGTCGGATCTGGTAAGGATATTATTGGTTCTTTCCTTACAAACAGTTTTGTTTTTCATTCAAACGTAAAGAAACAAATTGTAGGATACGGTGGAGAAATACGTTGTCGTTAAAAAGCTTTTCCAATTTCGCTGTTTCATTATCTCATATATATATATATATATATATATATATATATATATATATATATATATATATAATTATTTATTTCAAATGAAAATACATATAATTATTTATTTAAAAATGAATCATATACATATATATATATATAACTATTTATATCATATATATGTATATATATATATATATATATATGATAGATTATTTAAAAATGAATCATATTTTTAAATAAATAATTATATTTAGGCTCTACTTTTGTATCGAGCACTGTTTTTTAAAGATAAAACAAAATACTAAAGAACTTCGGATAGTTTACCTAACGAGTTCTTTTTCCTATTTTCAATATATTTTCAAACACATACACACACACACACACACACACACATATATATATATATATATATATATATATATATATATATATATATAGTTTTAAGGTAAGCTATACCTATGTGTTAAAGTGCTCAATATCAGATAGAGAGATGGTAAATGAAAAGTGACATTGAGATCAACACCCAGCCGTGACTGGACATTTTTATTCATAAACGCAAGTATCTTGTCTGAAAATTACGTTGAAAAAAGAAACAGATATGGACCCAGGTGTTGACTTAATGTACACACACACACACACACACACACATATATATATATATATATATATATATATATATATATATATATATATAATAGTGCTACATTATATATAATTATATAAGGGTGTTTCATTAAGACGGATTAA